CTTTCTGTACATGCTGATGTCTAGTGTATTGTCAGGTGTAATGTTTGTTCACCATCTCAGTTTAGTGTGTCAGCATGCTAACATTTGCTAATTAACACTACAAAGTTATAGTAGGTGGCCCAAGAGGAAAGTTGGAGGATTACCAAAGTCATTCGGATACATCCTCTAGGAACCATGACTGTCTGTATTAAATTTTGTGGCAGTCCACCGGCTAGATATTATATAGATATTTCACAGGATAATTGAAAATTGTGACCTGCAGGAGATCACTATATTCACAGGGATTCATCCTCTGGGCCCCTTGAATGTGCAAAATGTCATAGTAATCCATCCAATAGTTGTTGAGATTATTTCAGTCTGAACAAAGATGGTCGACCCACTGATTGCTCTACGGAGGCATGGCGCTCGCATGGCTAAAAAACACATAGTGATCCTAAGAAAGCAAACAGTAGACTTGGACTTCTCAAAGTGTGTTTCTCTACTTCTTCTCTCAGCTCTGAGTACGCTGACGTAGTTCAGTGATGATGCATAAAAATAAATCAACATGAGACATTTAGAGAATTTCGAAGAATGGTAACAACTAATGCAAGCAAGTGTAATCTAAATGTCAGTGAAGAAACAAGTACTGACCCTTAGGTAAACAGTGAAATTACGTGTTTTTTCTCCACTTCACATCCTTTTGCGAAATTGACAGTGATTCTAAAAGTTGTTGTGTCTCTAAAAAAAACTACCATACAAGCCAGTTCCCATATTTCTAACTCCTCTAAGATTCATACAACAATCTGGAGTATAGGGAGTAGAAAATCCCAAATGGTAATCTTCCAAAATCCCAGTTGGCATGACGATGGTTCAGTTAAATTATGAATAGAAAACTGGGATTTGCTCTGTGCAAACTCACAGTAATAACATCTGTCATCATAGGTGTCACTAAAACATTCAAAACAGACAGTTTTTACACACTTACAGCATCTCTTTAGCCTTTAAAACTAGCATTACTTTTTATTGATTTAGTAGATTAGATTACTCAAGAGGCTGAGGAAAACAGACCTACACTGTGTTTTTTTCTTTTCCTCCACTTTTCCAACAACTCGACTAAGATAGTGTCAGAGGACAAAACTCTGACCTGAAAGAACCACTGCTAAATTGCTTTAAATCATCTGGTATCAATCATTTAGTAGCAATAGTTGGAGTGTTTACTAATGGTGGAAATCTCATTTTGGAATGATTTTCTTGACTTAGTCTCTTTTCTAAGGTATTAGGGGTAAGTGGGTCTAAAAATAGACCGTACAATGTCAACATTCTGGCGCCCCATAAACAACCAGGATTAAATTAGCCAACCACTGTTTCCTCTCTGAGCCTTTGTGCATGTGCGTCTGTGTGTGTGTGTATATGTCTGAGTGAGGTATGAAAGACAGACACACTGTGTAGGTTCAGTTTCACACACCAAAGTTACAAATTCAAGTGTATCAGCGTTCCTGTAAAAACCTAAACTGCTTTTAAACATGTGCTATTTTGCAAGGAGAGAATGTTGATATGATGTCTAACTTTAGAGTCAATCACTTCACAAGAAGAACTGCTTCCAGTCACTGACCCCTCCTACTGTCATAACACAGAGCGTACTTTCTGATGATTTTTCTGCGTCATTGTTCTTTCAACATCAACAACCTGGCCACGGAAAAAAAAGCTATTAAGCAATCATGGCCAATAAAACTGTCATGCACTGCTTTTTGTGTAAACCATTACATCTCCACTCGGTCTCTCTGTGCATGTCTCCCTCCTTAAAAAGGCATAGCACGAGACTACTCCACACAGGATGCTCTACACACACACACACACACACACACACACTCAGTGGAACACATGCAAATCATTTAACGTGAACAGAAGTTTGGACTTTGAATACATCATGATATATGAACTTGCACATATATTGAAAATCTATATTGATAAAATTTAAACGTAGTTGGTGTTCTATAGCTGCTGTGTTCTTTTTTTAATCAACCTGAGAATAAAATGAAATGATATGAATTCACAACTATTTCAAAAGCTGCTTGAGTTTAATCATTGCTATCCTGTAATATGAATGAATGATGGTTGGGGACATTTCGGTCCAAACTGGCATCAATATGATGATGGAGTACCCTGAGCATGATTGACATGACTATTTAAAGGGACACTCCACTGATTTTACACATCAAGTAGTGAAAGACACATGTTGCATTGTGGGAAATGTAGGAACTATTGTTTTTGGATCATGACCGATCTAAGGACTCAGTGTCAGGATGTTGCGACCTTTGTTGCTTTGATCAATCTCTCTCACAAGTGCCTCAACTTTATGAAAGTGTCATACTTTACCATTTAATATACACATTTTCAGTATTGAATTTGCAGTAAATGTACCAAAATGACATGACACAGAGGATTTAATAGATGTCAGCCAACTCTACCATCCATGCAGCTTTCATGTCAGTACACTATGAAAATGACCTTGCAGAAAATTCATTCATCATTTCAAAAAGACGTAGACAAGGGGAAACTGCATGTGCACAAGGCCCTGGGAAGTGTCCAAACGTCAATATCAAGTGTCAACCACTATTTTAGCATGGGAAAACACACTCCCAGTGTTGGCAAATTGTAAACTTCAAAAAGAAACAGATGCAAGCTGCACACAATCAAATTGAGTTGTAACTGTCATGAGAAAACAGTCGTTCCTTTGCCATCTCTGACTTGGACAAAAGTTCTGTGTTGATCAGGCACTTCTTTCTTTTCTTTCATTACAGGTGACAGACAGACTGCACTTCTGATTGGTCTACAACTGTATCTGACACCTCCTGTCAGTGAGTGAGCATGTTCCATCTGAAAATGAAAATGGTCATGAAATTTCAATCTTTCTGGCATCATAATAAATGTGAAAAATTAATCTTCATTATGTGACTGGCATGTTCAGTTTGCATTTGAAAAAAACTGTGCATTGCAACTAAATCCGTCTGCAGCATTCAGTGTATTACCAATGTAAAGTTTACACTTCATTTCAGGATTTTACTTCACACCCAAAAGTGTGTGAAACATCCTGTCTTGGCTCAGTATTTTTACAAACACTCTGAGGTGCAATAACTTCATGCTCAAGATTGTACTAATGACTCCAAACTGATGGCCTCATGTTATCCTCGGTGGGCCGTGGCAGGAGGAGGGGGGGAGTCCATGGAAAATAGAGTTACAGTGATGGGAAACGCTGTAGAGTGAGAGCTTCTCGACATCTCAGAGTTCAAGAGAAGGAGGAAAAGTGTGGATGCGTGCCTCTGTGTGTGTGTGTGTGTGTGTGTGTGTGTGTGTGTGTGTGTGTGTGTGTGTGTGTGTGTGTGTGTGTGTGAAAGAAAGACAGAGAGGCACACTGCAAGAAAGTGTAGCAGAGAGAGTGAAGCTGGAGCTGTTCTTTGTAATAGGAAATGATGGGAGAGCTGTTTGAGGGCCACATGGTTTTGACCCTGTGACCGCTCCCAGTCGTGAGAACCCAGTCCCGGGCCATGTGTCCTTAAGACACTCACATCAGTATACACACGCGCTACTGCACATACACACACACACTCGGTGCAACAAGCAGAACACATATCAGCTAAGCCAGAGAAAGAGAGAATACATCCAGAAAAGAAGCTGGAAAATTATCATACCTTTCCACCACTGCATGTGGACTCGTGCCAACTATGCAGCCTATAAAGCCCCCCCCCCCCCCCCCCCAAAAAAACCCCACCCCCCACTTCACCCACAACACCCAACCGTCGTGAGAACCCAGTCCCGGGCCATGTGTCCTTAAGACACTCACATCAGTATACACACGCGCTACTGCACATACACACACACACTCGGTGCAACAAGCAGAACACATATCAGCTAAGCCAGAGAAAGAGAGAATACATCCAGAAAAGAAGCTGGAAAATTATCATACCTTTCCCCCCCTGCATGGGGACTCGTGCCAACTTTGCAGCCTATAAAGCCCCCCCCCCCCCGCTAAAAATAAGTCACCCAAGCATGTTTTGGTAAGGATTTCATATGCTACCTTCCCCTTATTCACACTCAATTTGAAGCCTATATGAAGACAAAAGCCCAGCCTGCCTAATGACTACAGTAGGAGAAAAAAACAGATTATGAGGGGAAGACTATCTGTGCACTTCACTGAACCTTTTGTTGGAAATGTTTAATCCTCAGAAGCTCCGAAAGAGCTGCTTTAGCTTTCCCACAAGTACTTCTGTGTAAGGTGTGACTCTCACAAGGACTGAAAACACAGCGATGACCAGCCAAGAAAAAGTCCAGGTGGGAGAAGTGGAGCAGTGCTGCCTGCACCCTGCTCCCCCAGTTAATTACCCACGTGCCCTTGGGCAAGACTACTGCTCTAGTTGTAGGCTGTAGTGTACTGGTTTAATACTGGATGGCTTCCAGGTGCAGATGTCAGAGTCAGGTCAACACTCCCTCTTCAAAATCCATAAATCTTCCAGTTGGGCTCGAGTATCTCCACACACACACCTCAGGTCATGATGTCTTACTCTACACACAGTCTATTTTAAGATTCACAGACAACTTTCTGGGTCTAAGAATCAAACGTGCACTCTGTAGAGTCTGGCCGTTCTGACAGAGATTTGCAGCAGCAAATGTGTCTTCTGGCATACAGTGGATTTGACTTCCAGCAGAAATAAACAATGTGTTAAGGCTGCTGATTGCTTTTCCTAGTTATTCCAGGAGCTGTCATATGCACTTCAGGGATGGCAAATTCCTAAATTCTGTTAAGCCACTTTTCCAGCAGTTTAGTGTGCATACATAGAGAGGAACTATACATGAAGAAACAGGGGCGAAACACATGAGTTTTTACACATGGTTGATTGTCATATGATGGTCACATATGTATCATTCCACTCAACACAAGCTGGACTCTTAACTATGACTCGGTTACTCAGGATGAATTACAACCTCAGAGGTAAAAACTTATTCTACTGCGTTGGAAACTTTACCTCTGATTTCCACACAACGTAAGCGTGAGAGCTGGACGGCTGCACTTTCCTCTGGAGCCACCTCCGCGGGGAGAACAGCGTACCGGTGCTCCCGGACGGCGCAGCACCGGGTCCCCTCACCAGAAACGGTAAATCCCCGGCGGTATTCCTTTTAGCACACTTCACTGTATCATAGTCAAAGTGGAAGTTGGAGGATGGAGAAACATCCAGTGGTATGGAAGGAGAAGAGAGGGACGGGGTTATGGGCTCCTTTAGTGTCGGAATCTTAGTGCGTAAAGCTGGTTTGACAGCCACGCGCTCCGGAGACGCACCTGCGTCCGCAGCCGCCGCTCCAGAAAGCGGTGCTCCAGTTGTTGCCTCGGTGCCGGTGCCACAATGTCTTATGATCGCGGGGTCCAGGCTGCGGGTCTGGCGTAGCCTCCGTTTGATTATGGCTTTGGAGGCAGGAGAGGAGCAGGAGAAGACGCTGTTGAGAAGTCCTTGAGCCGCAGACATGTCTCCTCGTTTTGGATCTCACATCAGCGCTGCCCAGTGCGTCTCTTTAAAACTCCAACCTCAAGACAGGAATTTGGTGTTGCCCCATCAAAAGGAAGTTCCACGTACAAGCTGGTGAAGAGCTGGAATGTGCTGCATTTGGCTGCAGACGCTGCGCACTGTGGAGAAGGAGCTAGTCAAATCTTCTTTTCCTCTGCTGTGATCTTCTGCACGTTGGTCATTGACTAACTGGAGTAGAGTGAGAAGACAGTGTGAAAGTGTGTGTGCATGAGCGTGGGAGGGCGTTCAGAGCACTTGAGATGAATACTTGCATACTGTAATTTTTCTTAATAACCAATTTAATGTCAAAATATTAGAACTTTTTGTTTTTGCAGATTTTGTTTTTTCAACTCTTTGCATAAAGAGTCAACTTTACACCTCCATTGTGCTTCCTTTTCTTTTTTGTTAAAATGTAAATTACTTCCAGCACTGGGTGATAATTAATCTCATCCACTGAATTCCATTCAAGCAGCATTTGATTTTGCCTGAAATACTTCACAACACTTTGACCACTAACTTTGTTTCCTGCTGCCTTAACAGTTTAAGATGTGGGGTAAGATGATTTTCTATAATGAAGAAGCTCATGTTCATGAGGGTAATTAGGCAAGTAGCCTGTCACAATAATCAGACAGGCAGAAGGTCATACATACAGACAGAGATGATTTAGCCAGGGATGAAAATAGGCGTATTAATCCTTGTCTCCCATTAATCCACCTCGCTGTCTGGGAATAATAGGCCTATCAGTGAAGCCTGCTGTGTGCTATTATTAGCTAAACAATAAGTGAGCCGTAGGATTAATAGCCAATGCATGTCTTCATACACCTGTGTATGAGGCTGACATAGTGCCAGACATTTGTTGACACAGATGCTCATAGAAGAGCTCAGTAATTTCAGCATGTTAAGATGGTGTGTGTGTCTGCATTTGTTTAAAGGAGAGAGTGTGCAAGGAAGAGAAACACTGCAAGAGGAGAGAGAGAGAGAGAGAGAGAGAGAGAGAGAGAGAGTATGTGTGGCCCAGTGTGTGAAAGTATGGGAAAAATGAAAAGAGACAGCAGGAGTCTGGAGAGGAGGGTGCCGGCCGGCTGATAAAGGAGCTTATGAAGCTGCACCGCATGACACACTCACACACATACACACAACACAGCATGACATGACACTGATAACAGCTGAGATAGATTTGACACTTCTAAAAACAGTCTGCGGGGGAAAAGAATGAAACACTGACTGAGTGAAAACACAGAAGCAGGAATTATGGATGAAAACATGGTGTTTTGCATTAGTTTATAAAAAGGTTTATGGAGAGAAGCCAGCACTTGAAGCATTATTGCCTACTACTCCTACTTTGGGAAAAAGCCAAAAAACAACAGTAATATGGAGGAAGAGTGTGTAATTGAAAAGGTATTAAACAGATATGTTCCCATATCACAGATTTAGAAAGTATAGACCGGTGCAGCATCCATGACTTTTTCATTTTGCTGCCTTCAAGGTCTTCATCATATGTTGAAGACAATATGGGTATTGAATGTCTCGTGTTATTGATGTGTGACCATGGAAAACATTTAATGTGAAACAGTGATCATTGGACATGACTGTCAAAATATAGAAACGCGGTCAGGGTCAAAGGGAAGGAGAGTAAATTAACAGGGCTACACTTCAGCCAGTCATGTTCAGTGTTATATACACACTGTCCATATTTGGTATACAATAGTAGAGCTGCACTGCCTGAAACCATTTTAAGCAAAATGAGTCTAGATTCAGACACAGCTGCAGAGACATGTTTCCTGTGCCGGGGATCAGTGTAGCCCACATTTCATTGTCCAAGGCTGTTTCACACATATGAATAAAAAGGTTACAAGGTCAGGAACAAAAGGAATCAAATTACTGGTATGAACTATGAAACAATAAACCAGTGATACAATGTCTATTTTTATCTAAACAATTAGCATTATTTATGGTGGAAAGAGAAAAGAACTAAGTTAGTCCTGATTTATGATTTATTACTCCAAATTATTACTACAAATGAAACAAATGAATAATCAGATCTTTTTTAAGTGATTAAAGTCTTAGATTTGACAAGTAGTTGAATGTGCCTGCAATTTACACACACACACACACACACACACACACACACACACACACACACACGTACGCATGCACGCACGCATTTTGTACCCTAGAGCAATATGTCTATCTGACCAAAGATTTCACATGTTCCTGGCTGCTCATATAAACATCCCCATACTGTATATTTTAAGAGACCCCATATTGTTCCAGTAGAGGAAGATTAGATTATTGAGACATGGTGAATTTTCTTTTACTGCACTTTGCCTCAAGGGAAACAGTCTTTCTCAAAACTGTGAATACCAAAACAACATGTTTTGCTCCTCTGAGGTATGGGATGTATGATACCCATGTTGCTTAATGTGTATAGGCAGATTCAATTTCAGAACATGATCTGCAGAGTTGTAGCTAGTTGGTGCTATTCACAATAGAGCAATATATTGCCCAGGGGTTATTAATTATTTTCATGTGATGAATCCCAAAACAGACACAGACGACTTTCCTGTTCGGTGAGATTTTATACCAGGGACCCTTGTAAGAGAGATTGTAAGAGATTATAAAGATGTTGGTAAAGTGTGTGTTTAAAATATATTCCACATGATTATTGGGTAACATATGGAGCTCTGTAAAGAAATGGGGTACCTTTCACATCAGTTTTGAAATCTAATATTTATGATGTCACTGATAGGCTATACATTTTTCATGCTTACATACTGCACTGTTAGTGTTAGGCATGTGACAGTAAGTAATAGCAAGTAATATTACATGCTAATGTGTAGCCAACACACACGAATTGAAGCTAATTAAACATATGGAACAGAAACAGTTTGGTTATAATTTAACAGATGTGGCACGAGTCTCATGTAGACTTTTTGTGCTCATATAGTGATATCTACTGGCCAGAGTTTGAAATTGCACTACTACTACGGTGTCCGTGAGAGATCAGTCCAACTTATTAAATCGCGTTTTTTGTGTTGCCTTCACTGATATAGGAAGTGTGACGAATAGCTCCGCTCAGCTCCTGATGAACTTTAAAAATATTGTAGGCTTTTACAGTGTATAGTCTGATGAATCTAATGGCTGAAATTGTGATAATTCACAAACTAAAACATACATGTGTATGATGCTCATTTTCAAGCTTGGTTTAAATTATTATGAATCTGTATGGTAAAACAGTTGTCTATACTTTCAATTCACTTACTTAGCCTCCAGTTTCGTCCGCATAAAAACATAAACAATCTACTGTAAGTGCCGCTGTTTCCGCGGCGCTTCAGGTGTAGAAATTACGAGGAGTCAGTGAAGGCAGCTGCATTTGTCCCACAACAGCGCCATCCTTCCACAGCCTGGTTTGGTGGGAGACCCCTCACGAAAAAAAGTGTTTGGCAAGGAAAGAGTTAAGGAGTTTATAGGGTCCAGATCGATGCCTCCTCTCCCACACGTCGCCATGAACAAATGAATTCGCGGGGAATTAAATATCAATTTCACAAAGGAGAAAGAGTCCTCTGCTTTGAACCCGACCCTACCAAGGCTAAAGTGTTGTATGACGCTAAGGTAACGTTTAATACAAGCTTCTTTTGCCTTTTGGTGTTTAGACTTTATATAAACGAATAATTTATACTGGAAAAACAGGGTTGTTTCTGTAAGGTGTGTTATATATGAATCGACTGGAAAGGCCACTTAGGCCTCAGAGAAACAACATTGGCAGATAACGTAACGCTAACGGTTGTGGTTTCTTGCATGTTTTCCGGGTACGTTTGATTGCACGTTTGTTCTTGAAACGCATGATTCAAGTAGTAAGTTAACGACAAGTCTAATGTTTTGTAGCCGTTAAATTTATTTCTAAGGATGCTACTGGATGAAGCAGTCCAGCCAACACTATTACCAATGTATGCATTAATGTTCTCTAAGCAAACGTTAGTGAGATTATATAATTCAGTAAAGTAACGTAAGTAATTACCCAAAGCAGTTTAATGTCAACACATGATAAACAAACGCACCAACACATCTTCCCCGCTAACTCAGCCAACACTGACCATTGTAATGCCCCCGTTATCATTGTATAGCTATCTTACCACTTCATGCTACCTAAGAAGGTAACGTGGCGTTGTTTGAGGCAGATACATAAAGGTCCAGCCGAGTTGATTATTATTTTAAGTGCGCAATGTCGTTTTAGCTGGCTAGTTAGCAACTGGCTAACGCTAATAGAGGGCAATTCACGGTATATATCAATGCATTCTAGCTTGGCTTGTGCTAACTATGGCTAGCTAACAGTTGGCATTAACTGCTGTTTAACTCAATGTTTATGAGTTGGGTTGTAGTAAGAAGCTTCAGGTATTTTACTTAAGTAGCAATACAACAAAATAAACACAAATTTACCTCTACTAATTTAAGTGTTATTTAAGCATAAGTCCTGCATTCGACATTTTTTGCAGCTAATGTAGCTTCTTAAAGTTTCAAAAGCAAAATGAGAATGCCGTTTTATTATTAATAAACCTGTAAGCATCATTTTAGCTTTGTAGCTGCACAATTTGATGCAAGGAATAAGATAGGGTCATAGTGTTGTGCTATTTAAATTTCATATATCATTCAGATAATGGTTGAATTGCCATTTTGTTTCCTCTACAAATATATTCTAATAATATAAAATCTTGATTTGCAAAGGCAGGATAAAATATTTCAGGGTAAAAAGTACGTTTAAAAGTGTGTTTTTTGAATTTTGAAAGTATTAGAGCCTGACCCATATTGGATATATCTATGTATATATACAGGTATGTATATATATATGTGTATGTGTGTATATATATATATATATGACGGTAAACTTCACTGGGAATTAGATAAAATAACTTGAATGTACAAAGGATCAAATATACATAAAATGCTACCTATATAACTTTATTTGGCCAAAGCAATTTCCACTGCATTGTTGCTTCTTAATAAAAGTGTTCATATCAGCACATATCGGAGAATATATGCACCAATACCAATATATCTGTGATAGGCCAATATCGGCTGATAAAGTTGGCGGACCCATAAATTGGATAAGTCGAGCTCTAATTGTGAGTAATAGCATTGTCCTTCAAAGCTCATGCGCCTTAAGTAAGATTATACTTACTGTTGTGTGTTCACATTACAGGTCCTTGATGTCTTAATAGGTACAGATGAACATGGAAGAAGAATCCCAAAGTACCTGATTCACTTCAATGGTTGGAACAGAAGGTGACATTGAATTGGCTTTCTTTTA